CTGCTCCAATTGCTGCTGAAGATGGTCGTCGGTTTCTTCAAGTCCTGTTGGCGATTCTGCGGCATCGAATCTCCCCATATTTTGTCCTCTGTCCGAGCTGCCATAGACTGGAATTGGAGCAGAGTTCGACTCTTCCCTCTCAAGTGGTAATATTCGACTGAAAGTTTCAAATCCGTCGATCAACCATTTTCCACCGAACTGTTCCAGCTGCCAAGTTTCTCCACCGTTGTCCGAATCGTCATGCTCTTCGTCTTCTGTGGATTCAAAACCTGCCTCCACAACTGTTGCTAAGCCATTCAAAGCACTGGGAATAAATGAATTAGTTCCGGCAATTAACTGATCGGTCAAATTGTTCCCAGGATGAGTCTTTTGAGGACCAGCTGAAATGAGGTGAGGGAAGCAGAAAAGAAGAACGTAGAGAGTGGGTGGCATGAGGCAGGGCTCAGTTATACTGAATGTGGTCGAGGGCAAGTAATTCCGTGGGTTAGTTGCATTAATTTATTCCGCATAATTATGCGCGGGAGACGGGGCACATGATCAAATTGATTGTTTGGCATGCGGATCAGAATTGATGGCGCATACACGGATTAGCTGTAAAAAGTTTTTCAGTTTACAGACATTTCACGAAATACCACTTTATTTACTGAGTAACTGAAACGGCTACTGATTCGTATTCGAAAACGTTCTCCAGCGATGTAGCAGGGAAGGTCATAAACTGCGTTTGAGCGCTAGTTATTTTCGTCAAAAATTGGCAGAAACTGACACTTATGTGTCAGTGATTGTGTGATACTCGAGAGAAAATCAATTTGCCTCCAAAAAATGAGGCAAGTCCGTGGCGTAAAAGCAGATAACGGATACTGGTAGGTGGTTCACGATGGAGCTGGCATACCTGCGCTCGTACTGTGTTTGCATCTTGGTAACATCGAAAGCTTTCTGGGGTAGTCTGAATGTCTTGGAAGTGTCACTCAAAGCCAAATTAAAAATACCCTTCTGTATTTTGTCCCTGCGCGAAACGAAAGCACACAAAACTATTCCGAGAGCCGCAAATACCGAAAGCAAATACAAACTGGCAAAGCTGTGGATGGCTCCTTCTTTCGAAGACTGCTGCAAAGCAAGCTGATGGTGGGTTTGACTCCCTGGCAATTTGGCATCAAAACAAATGTGGAATTCATGGAGGAGCTGATTTTCTCATTCGCGCTTTAGAACCTTCCTGCTGTAGAGCAGTACTACTGCCCAGTATGCTGTGCTTGCAAGGAATGCCACCAAATTTGCATATTCCATGATGGTGAATCATACATAAAAGAAGCAATTTTGAACTGTGAGAGCATTCTTCGTAGTTTTCGTTTACCAGACGGTTTATTTGCACAGTCAAGGTTTGTGAGTCCTGTTGCGTTCCTACCGCTCGAAGAAACGGTAGGATAAGTGACTTAAATTTGGTGCTGGATATTTGATTTGGGCGCCACCACCGTCCTCATCTGTACTCGTTTTCTAGTCAAGCCGACCTCTGATTTCCATACCTCCCGATTTCTCATTTATTTGTTGCGAAAAATCCGCGAAAAGCCGGCAAAGAAGAAGCCACCACAAAGAGAAAGGCATATGCTGCATAGGGGAGGCAGCTATAAAAGGAAGCTGCCTCCCATAAACAGTTCGAGTGCCGTCTTTTTGTAAATTTTCCGTATCATGCTGTTTTTAGAGTTTTGAGTCAAAATTCAAAGCTTTTCATTTACAACCCATAATTGTGCAGAGTGTTGGTATCAGCTTTTTCAATTACTTGACTACTGTTACATCACCTGGTAGTCAGCCGGATTACGATTTTGACTTT